TCCACAAATAGCACCTCACCCTGTTCTTGAGCTCCTTGAGGTCGTCGTCGGGGGGGGACCAGATTGATGCCATGTACCACAGTGTAGAGAAGATCGCTGTGTTGATGAGTAGTGCCCGTCCGATTAGTGAGGCCTGCGCATTTTTGCACAGGGCCAGGCGGGTGATTGCTCTTGCTATCAGATTCTGGCCCATTCCCGGCCACACCCCTTCTTTGTTAACCATGATGCCCAGGAACCGTAGTGCTTGTTCTCCCGTGGTCCAATTCATAGGTGTGGTTGTGTCCGACGGTTGGGGAGGGGTGCCGTCTGCTAACCACCAGCCTTCAGTTTTATTCCAGTTTACCCTCATTTCTGAAGCCAGTCTGAATGCTTCCATCGCCTTTACCAGTGATTGAGAGCTGTTATTTGCTCTAATGAGTACTGTAAGGTCGTCAGCGAACATGAGAGCCGTGGGTAGGGCGAAGTCGTGTTTTTCGTTTTCTTGCCATCTCTGATTTTTCCATCTTCGATTTTTCCATCGTCGATTTTTCCATCTTCGGTTTTTCCATCTTTGGTTTTCCTTCTAGTAGGAACACAACATTTTTTATCGTCCTTCGGGATATCCCTTAAAATTGGAGTGATACAGAGAGAGAAGATTAGCATGGTCCCTGTGCAAGGATGACGCACATAAATTGACATTTTAGTAATTTCTCCCATCTTTGTATATAGTTATTAGCTTGTTATTAACTTATTAACTTATTAGTATCCAATTTTAGTTATTACTACTCAGTACTTGGGACTTGTGATCTGTTTCTAACTTTGTATGGCATTTATGATTTATCCCTCTCTTTTTAATTTTTTATAGTTATATTCAATTTTAGTTATTTGGCAGTGTTGGCATTTGGCGCTTGTAATCTTTTTGTACTGACCACTCATTAATAGTTGTTATCTGTTTCTATCTAGGTAGGCGTACTTGGCTTGCCCGGCGATGCAACCCGGGCAAGTCGTCTGGGGGGTTCACCTGCATCGGGCACCGCGTGCAGGCAAAAATCAGCCTTTTTTTTTTCCGTTTGTTGGGTGGGTGGAGGTTTTCTGAGCATGGCCAGAGGAGTTGCAAGTCCAGGCTCCTTTCCTTTTTTCCAGTGTTGGCTGTCAGAAGGGGGGTATAAATTGGTTTTGTAAGGGGCTAAAAAAGGAGGGCGCCTTAGTCTCATTCTCTTGTTTTTTTTTTCTTTTTTATCTTCAATTCTGTTAGGAATTCAGATGTGACCTTCACCCAAAAGTCGTTTGTATAACTTTGTAATGCAATTCTACACAACTGTCACAACATATACGTATCTTTTTCCCTGTTGCTTCTATGCCATTTATCGCTCTCACAAAGTGAATAATGTCGTCTTCTTGTGCTGTTTCATTTTGCATGCCCAAAGTGCTTGCTTGATGCTGTGGTTAGTTGGCTTCCTTTTTCTTCTTCTTTTTTTTTCTTTTTTTTTTTTTTCTTTTTTCTTTTTTCTTTTTTTTTTATAACAAACCAGTGTTCTTGCTAGGAGAGGTGGTACGAGCACTCCCTCCTAGCAAGAGTCCTGGGTGCTCCGGTCTATTGGTTGGGAGCCGCACCTGCTGGAAAGCGGGTCCAGCGTCTTCCTTAGTTAGTCTGGTTGGTAAGATTTCCATTAAGAAATGTACATGTGTTTTGCTTTCAGCAGAACAAAGCTATGAGCTTCTCTCAAATTAACCTTTCACTACCTACCTACCTCTGCTCCTAAGCCTATTCAGGGGACCTCTGCAAGCATCGCTACCTGTCACAATCAAGGGGATAAGATGATATTATGATCTCCACGATGACTGTTACATGCCTTGCAGCCAGGCGTCTCCCTCCTCTGGTAATGCCCACCACTCAATTTGAATGTTCTCGATTAATAAACTACCGTGGGTTTGTGTGGGACCTCAATGTAGTAGAAACCCAGGTTGTTGGATCGGACGTCCGGGACCC